GGGCCTTTTCGGCGTGTTTTTTTTTTTATTCCGGCCCGAAATAAAAATGGCCTTTTCGGCCGAAAATTTTCGGTGGCCGAATGTTCGGTGCACCCCTAATTTAAAGTTAACCCTGAAGCTTTGGAGAACAAAGCAATCAAGTTAAGAGCCAAAGGAATTTGTGATTTATTTTTAAGAAACAAGGTGGTGTCATCTGCCAGTTGGCTAATCCGAAATTCTGTGTCAAAAAACATTGATGCCCTGTAAATTTTCATTTTTGATCAAAATTGCTAAGAGTTCTGATGCTATGACAAATAACAATGGAGAACAGCTGCATCCTTGTCTAATGCCTCGTTGAATTTCAATGTGCCCTGGGGTAACGACACACAGCTATTAATATCTTTATACAACATATTAATTAATCCCACAAATCTGTCACCAAAACCAAAGTGTTGTAATGCTTGTAAAATAAAAGAATGCTCAATAGAATCAAAGGCTTTGTAAAAGTCCAAAAAACAAACAAACATGAAACTATCATCCTCAATATGGTTATTATATTCTATCAGATCCAGAGCCAGACGGATGTTATTATGAATAGATCTACCTTTAATAAAACCTGACTGGGTTTCACTAACTATTTGTGTAATACCTTTCTTAAGTCTTTCAGCTAATACACCCGATACTATTTTATAGTCTGTGTTCAGTAATGTGATAGGTCTCAGATTATCCAGTATTCTTTTATCCTTACCAGATTTGGGGATAACAGTTATAACTCCTTGTTTCATAGAAGGCATCAGTTCTTGTCTCTCAATACATTCCACTGTAGCATCGAACAACAGCTGTCTAACCTCAGACCAGAAAAACTGTTAGCCCATCACACCCAGGAGCTTTACCCAGTGCCATTTTATGTATGACAAGATCAAGCTCTTCTATTCTAAAATCAGTCACAAAGTTCTTTAAAAGTTTGTTCAATACTTGGAATGTGTGCTTTCACCTTTTCAAAAAACAAGACTGAATCAGTAGCTAGGGATGATGAAGAGTATAAGGACTTATAAAACCTAAAAACCTCCTTTCTAATTTTGTCAGGATCATTGCATTCATCCCCATCCACAATTAATCTATTTATAGCGTTTCTCTCCTGTCTACTTTTCTCAAGTTTAAAAAATATGTTGAATTTTTTTCACCTTCCTCCATCCATCTAGCTCTAGATCTTATATAAGCATCCTGAGCTTTTTTTCACATAAAGTTCATCCAACTTAGATTGTAGTGAAGCCAAAGTTTCAGCATTATCAGTGCTGATGTCATTAGAATATTTGTGAATTTCTTGTAATAAGGAGCATTCAAACTCTCTTCTCTGTTGACATAACATCTTGCTAAACCTTATGGAGTATTCTCTTATTTTGTGTTTGAGGAATTCCCATTTTCTCCAACTAGAAGAAAATTGAGGATCCTGGCTGATGTCACAGATCAACTTCCTAACTTCATTGCAATACTCTTCCTGTTTTAATAAGTCATCATTAAATTTCCAATATCCTTTACCATGGAGAGGTTTGGAAACAGGTTTCAAATCTATCCTGACTAAACAGTGATCAGTGAGAGGTGCCTGTGACATCGAAGAATCAGATGTGCATCTCAGCACTGCCTCTGTTCCAAGCCAAACATCAGTCCTCGATTTGTTGTTAGCATTTGGTTTAAACCAAGAGAACTGCTTATCGTGTGGATGTAAGCATCTCCAAATATCAACCACTTGGTTATTGCTTGTAAAATTTGTAATAAGAGAGTTGCAGTGTGAATTTGGATACCTAGGTGGCCGCCTGTCAAGCCACTCTTTTTGAAATCTCCACCAACCAATACATATTAAGTGGGCTAAATGGATTTTAGGTCTGCAATTACCTCTGTTAATTTCAATAGAAACTCTTCGTTTTCTTTTACAGTACTACATCCTTATACATTGACCATAACAAAGAATGAATTATCAATGTCCATCACTACACCTAACCAGTGCCCCTCTGTATATGCAACATGTGTCACAGGTTTAGCTGGAAAATTGTTAAAACAGGCGGCCACTCCTCCTGAGCGATTGGTCCCATGGCTAAATAACATCAAGTCTCCCCACTGAGTCTTCCGAAGGTAAGAGTCTGAGCTACATGAGTCCCCTGGTATTCAAAGAGCAAAACGAAATATTTGCTTTCAACAAAGGCATAGAAGTCAAGTCTAAAGAAATAAAAAGAAAACACTAAACTGTAGTGATTTGAGAACAGTAACGAGTTTGGTTATAGAAGCAAAGCTTAGATGCATTGCCTGATATTTCAAGTACCTGACCTGTCACAAAGTCTCACTGTGATCCTACGCCCTTCAATGTAGCCGAAGGGACCTCTGAAGTACGCTGCTTTATTCTCCAACCTTGCTCTTTCGATCCTGGGCCAAAGTAGCTTCCTTTCCATCAGATCCTCGTGGGTCAAATCCTCTGCAAGGCGGATCCCAATTTCTCTACATATGGGGGAATCTTTGGTGTGCCGCCAGATCTAATCTCTTACCGGTCGTTTGGCAAACAGGACAACCACTTGTCGGTTTTTGTTTTCCTCCCTTCTTCCCACACGATATACCACATCCACCGCATCTTCCATCTTGTTTCCCAGCTCAGGAGCAACTTTCTGTAGCAGCTGAACCGTTTCTTCTCTGATGTTCTCTTGCATTTTTTCCTTCCATCCTTTAATCCGCAAGCACCATCTCCTCCTATATCTGTCCTGT